CTTCTCTGTGGTAAGCGCTTTCAATCAAAATCTTGGCTTTTTATTTGGATTCTTATACCACCCAGTGGCGATGGTCGAAAATTTGTAATTGTTTCCGTTGTGAGGCAAGTTCTTTTATTAAAGATTTAAAAGAAAAATATTAGTGAACTTGTGCAACCACTATAGCCCTACAGATATTTGAGCTTAGTCAGGCAAAAGACAACAAACGTGGGTCACTCAGTGGGAGAAAGGGACTCGCTACGGCCCTTTCAAAAATCTGAAGAATAAAAAATAAATGTTTACAAATTCATACGTTCGGGTACGGTCTTTTTTTTTTTTGTCTCATATTCTGACATTTATTTTACGTTTGCGATACCTTTTTTTAAAAATGTACTTTTTAATAACAGAAAAAAATGTGCTGGAAAATTGATTTATTTTATTTTTCCTAAATCTGTACGTCGCAAGAGAAAGTTTTAGTTCATGCGGGTGTGTGTGTTTGCGCATGTAACGATTCTCCGAAACAACAACAAAAAAAAAAACAATGCCTTGTCGCTTCTCTCACAAATACGTTTACGTTTTCCAATTGCATTTACCAAGACAATTGTCTAAGTTTATAAAAGATTATTAATGATGTCAGCGCTTTTTTATATGAAATCTTCCCCTGTTTCTGCCTGTGTTTTTACAGATCACGACAGCTTAGTGATTAATGTTTAAAAAGAACTATTCAGTATTATTATTATTTTTAGGTAATAAACATTATAGCACAACTCGATATATTGTGTGTAAAGAAAATTTCGACAATATACGCATTTTTTTAAATCTTTGATTATTTTTTAAAGATTATCAAAAACGACATTCTTGTACATGTGGTTAAAAAGTTAGATAATATTATGCATTAATTACTGTTTTTTTTTGTTTTGTTTTTTTTAATTAATAACTATTGTGTTCCGTTGTTGACATTATGCTATCTGCTGACGTGTTAAAATTTTGGAATAACGCAGTAATAAAAATTAAAATTTCATCTTCATCTTCATGATGTCGCGATCCGTTATTTTAAAATTTGTCCGACTCTTAAGAAAAAAAAAAAAAAATTCTGAAAAATTAGTTTTCAGCGGCATTTTTTCCTTAACACATATTGCAAATAAAAGCAAAATCAGTATTCATTTTTTTTTATGTATTAATTAAACAAAATAAGTTTTAAAAAAATAGGAACATTAGTTCGTGTTTAGACTGCGCCTTTTTTTTTTTTTTTTTTTTAAATATTTGTACTATATAAGTAAGAGGTAATTAAACTCCCACGGTAATGCGTCGGACAACTGGTAAATAAATAAATTGGGTTCGCTGTTTTTATTAAGGAATAAATATTAGCTTGACTGCTGTCATACGTCCTTGAAGATTGACAGCGACTTAAAAGAAAATTTAAATAAAAATAACAAACATAGCTATGAAATATTTTGACAAGAACACCTCAAACCTCATCGAACAATCGGAATACCAGAACTAAATTAATTTTATTACATTATCTACTGTAAATTGTTATTATGCTGAATAATATTTTTAATTATTGATGCAGAGGCGGCACAACAATAGGTTAGGTTATATCGTTATTTCAGTTAAGTTGTCATTCTTAGGTTATCTTTTCAATGTTTTCCTTTGCCATCGTAATTATCAGCACTGTACGTGTGTTTAAGAAATTCCATTTGATTCATTTTTAGTTTATCCAAATCGTTGTCTTCCTCCAGGAACGCCTGCCTGGCAAACGGTAGTTAAAGAGGAAAATGCCTCCAATACGCGAGAGAGAAAAAGTAAGAAAAAGTTTTACCGCTATATGAGGCGAGACAAAGATGAAATACGGAATCTCCTCTTTGTTCGCCCTGTTATCTTTCTCTTATTTATGGCCAATCGATAATATAAGTCAGTTGAAAATTCCACGGTGGAGATTCAAATGGAGATGAACAATAGGCGATGAAAAAACAAAAAAAAAAAAAATTGCATAATTATTTTTCATATGACCAGAAAATTTTCTATTTTTTTTTTTTTTTTTTTAATATAAAAGATAATAATGTCTCCAGTTTGCTATGTAAATAAATTGTAAATTGTTACCCACTACAGCAGGAAGCCAAAATATATGGCGTGATTTCTCATATAAGAAAATAATTTACATAGCAAACTGGAGTTTTTAAAAATATTATATATATATATATATATATATATATATATATATATATATATATATATATATATATATATATATATATATATATATATATATATATATATATATATATTATATATATTATATTATATATATTTATATATATATATATATATATATATATATATATATATATATTTATATATATTTATTTATATATATATTTATATATATATTTATATATATATATATATATATATTTATATATATATATATATATATATTATATATATATTATATATATATATATTTTTATATATATATATTATTTTATATATATTTATTTATATATATTTATATTTATATATATTTATATATATATATATTTATATATATATATATATATATTATTTATATATATATATATATATATATATATATATATATATTTATATATATATATATATATATATATATATATATATTTATATATATATATATATATATATATATATATATATATATATATATATATATATATATATATATATATATATATATATATATATATATATATTTATATATATATATATATATATATATATATATATTATATATATATATAGCTTTAAATTTCTTTTTTAATGTCCGATTTCATCGGAGGATTCATTTACATAAAAAAACTGGAACCCCTATTATAGTTTTAAAATATATTTTTGTTTATTTTTTGTTACCTGTGATCTGAAGTGATATAAAAAAAATGTAAAAGTACTATTTCTGGTTTCACTGCCTATTTTGCAAGTTCCCCATGCAAGATTAATCGTAATAGCCATCTGTAAGCTTTAAGGATTAAAAATAAATTTAAATAGTTTTTGGTGAGGAGACCAAAACAATCAAAAAAAAAATCGAACATCAGTATTTCCTTTTGTTTACTTTAATAATAGACATTCACACTTGGTCCGTTATGATTTAGGAAAGAGCAGATAGTAAATGTGTATCCCCGAATTCAGGGGTATATTAATACACCCAAACTGAACTTGCTGATCGGATTATTAACTGTAAAATTATTAATCCCTTTTCAATGTAAAACCTAATCTGTCTAAACCCTTGCTTCCTGACTTGTCAAATATTATTGTTTCACAAAGTGATGGAAGCCTAACAAACAAGACTGTCTGAAACTTCCTCTACATAAAAGGATCATTATCTACCCACAGACTCTACCACTACACAATTTTAAACAAGGCTTTACCTTTCAAATTTCTTTTATAAACTAACGTCAATCACACCCAGACAGATTTTTTTCAGTGAGGCTTGAACTCTTGACAGAAGTAAATATTTTCATGTGTCACTTTTTTTTGTGGAGTAATGGATAGCGGCTCCAATCGAAGAATCGGAGAGCCGAGTTCGAATTCCAGTCAAATTCATTACATTCACTTATGTGCTAATAATACACTTGGGAAATGTACGAATCCGCTTCTTCTCCCCCCCCCCCACAGCTAGGGGTAAATAGCAGGACAGACCGGGTTCTATAGGCAAATGGTCTACCGCACAAAGAAATAGCAACCTACTGCGGGAAAAATCTGCCTCGTTAGTCATGTATCGAAAGATACATGATCTCTTACGCGTGTATCGGGCATAACACATAACTGACTGACTCATGTCGGGGAGAATTACATTTAATTTTTAAATGTTCCTGTAAGCCCTGGTATTAAGGGCTGGGATTTATTAAACAAATACACGGTCTTTCATTACAAATTCCTGAAGCAGTTGCAGGCAAATGAAACGCTAATCGCTATTATTGTATTTTAGTGCCGGCAAGATTTCGGTTTTTATTTTTATTTACATCTTCCCACAGTCACTACACCATCAGAGCGGGAAGCCGTGATCAACTCTACTCCTGTATTTAAAGAAAAAAAAAAGCATCAAGTATAAATTTCTCGTGGTAGAAGAAAGAAAAAATTGGATAAGCAAATATTGGAATTCGTAATTTTTTTTTTTTTTTCCAAAAAGTCCTGGATTTAAAAAAAAAAAAATATTGTCCGTTGTTAAAAATTAAGGGTAAATTTGCAGATAATGTCCCATAGACAAATTTAAAAAATTCCTGCTGTAAAATCGCCTGATTATTCCAAAAATAGCATTAAAATTGGTGGAGATCTACCGTTTTGGAGACCTTGACAATTTTAATTGTATCCCAGTAACCCTCGATTACTTCGCGAAACTTTACTGGCATTGGTTACAAATAATGTTCCAGTGTAACTTCTCGAGACCTGGGACATTATCTGCAAATTTACCGAATTAGGTTTCTTCGGTTGGTTCTTTTCACGATATATCAACCTCTATTCAAATTCAGTGTTCAGTATTAATGGTGAAACAAGCTGGTTTTTTGCTAACCATTGTCTCCAGGTGAGGCGCCTGGTTAAGAATGAATAGATGCGGTATTGAGAAAAGATATTTATCATACACACGTTTTAAATATGATTTCCATATAAAACGAACATTCTTTTTTTTTTTTTTTACGATTTGTGGGAGGAGAGATAACTCATTTGATTGATTTGTTTGTTTATTACGGTTTATCAACCCTTTGTATTTTATATTTAAAGCGAAACATTTTTGGATTTTAAGAATAACTCCATTTTTTTTTTTTTTTTTTTTTTTTGCGCACGTACTACTAGTGAATGTTTTATTAACAATTTTTGGGAAGATAATAATGATTCTCAGAAGTCTTACTCTTTAACCCATAGAAGGGAATAAGAGGTGGAATCATACTATCTTCCAAAGGTATTTGCGTATAAGTGAATGAAACGAACTCAGCTCTACGATTTCTCATCCTTATCCGTTTTCCGTTATACCACCAGCACGATAAAGTTTACAGCACGTGATATTCTCGAGTAGTCACCCATCTACGTACTGACCAGACTCCATGTAGCTTAACTTCACTGATCCGACGAAATCCGGTGTTTCAACGTGCTACGGCCGTGAGCCCCCTAACTCATTTGCGAAAAGAAATCAAAATGATCTTGTCTCAATTGTATCCTCCATTTTAAAACTTCTACAAAAAGGCAGTTCTGTGTTAGACTATACTGTCGGCATTAGTTCGCTATGGATCTGACAGATTCCAAAATATCTGACATGGTTTACACAACTGATGATAATTATGGGGAAGAAAAGAGTCAAACGTTAAAGAACAAATATTGTGCCAGAAAATGAAATCTGCAGATGGCAGAGAGTAATTATAATTAACGAATAATAAATAATCATTTAACAAAGTTTTTATTTTTTTATTATGCAAGTTGAGTTGGTCTCTGGTTTAATGGCTTTTTTGAGAGGCAGATATTTGATATCGAAACGTCAATGAATGAAAGAAAAAATAATATGGTAAACTGAATTATGGATCGTGAAAAATTGTCAAACGACTCAAAATTGTCGATACATGATTATCAAAAATGGCGCTCCGGCTCTGCCGTAAACTGAATAACCAAAAACTTTCATGACTTATTTTATTTCCATCTACCGAGCGTTGTCTTAGAATTATTGTTATAAAATAACGTCTCTATTTATGTTTGATTACTTTGGTTTCCCAGCATAACTCGTCTATATACTTCTTCTAGGAACGGAAATCAAATCTAATTTATCATTTAGAAAGTGTTTTTCCCTCTCTCTAATGTTGTATCTTTCTTTGATTGTAAGTTAGATCCAAGAAAACTTTAAATTCCTTCAGTATTTATTGAATATATTTTAAAACAAACCTTTTTTTTTTTTTTTTTAATGAAGTGAACACTAAAGATTTCCCTATCATGTTAAGTTACCAGAAAAAAAGAAAAACGTGGACGAATGTCATAACTATGGTTTGTGGTTAGAAATATATGGGAAAGAAAATATTTAAGTTTTCATTAGAACCCTGGGGTTTTCAAATACTCTGTTTAAATATATTTTTTCATTTTTATATACCATCTGTTTTCTTTCTAGTTCTAAGGATAAATAAAAAAACTGTTTTAATTTCAAAAATTGAATTAAGAGTTCAATATAAAAAAAATGAATTTATAATTTTCAAAAATTCCAATATGAAAAAGTGGATTCCATTTTATTTTCAATAAATAAACTAAAACTGCTTGTAATTCACAGAAATACGTGTAAAACCAGAAATTCTTTGTAGTTTAGAGATCCTGGACTAATAATGAATATTTAACTTGGTATTTGTTAAATATTAAAAAAAAATATTTTGTGGTGTGTACTAACAAGGGATTTAAAATATTGGTAATTCTGAATTTATAATAATGAAATAAGTAATATTTTAAAAGATTCTGATATTATTTAGATTAAGTAAATTTAATTGAAATATTATTTCATTGCTGAATTAAACAAATATTTTCTTTTGTCATGTAATATTAGACAAAGAAAATAATTCATCATCTGTGTTAAATTAATAAATCTCCTAGAATCTTCACGGTTTCTCCTATAATTATATTCTAATAACAACGCCAAACCTGTCATTTATGAAGTTAATACGCTCATGAATTTTTTTTTCACACCAGTAGTATCTTTTGAGTTTTGTTGGAGATCAAGCGACAATAAGTCCCCTTAATACCCCAACACATTGTTCAATATTCTTCGATGCTGTTTGATTTAAACAAAAATAATTATATAAGATAATTTTCTGACTGTTTCAAGTGCTCTGATAATGAGAAAGAAAGAAAGAAAAAAAACTATTCTTGCTTTAATACTGCTCAATTTCTCTCCAATCCAACTTACCGAAGTTGTCTGGAATGGTAATAATTCTTCTCTTGCTTCTCGCTCTTAATTTTCCCCTGGTCTGTCAGAACAGCGACATCCACTGTCTGAGAGACCTTCCTTTCTTTGTCTTCGGAATTGTTATCGTCAAGAACTAAATTGGTACTTTTGATTAAAACCGATTGTTATTTCAACAAAGAGAGGAAGCGTCAGAGACTTTTATTCTTCTATTTATGATTAACGTTGTTGTTAAGGGAGAAATTGATGATAGACTAGACTCGCAATTTATTACTCGGAGATATACAACCGGTTTTCCGGGGTATTGCACCTCGTTTCATCCGGTCATCATCATGAGCGCATACTTGAAATGTTCGCTTCTTTTGCATTTATTCCTATTTATAAAGGGCTATGAAAAGTTCTGTTTTACTCATTTCCAGAAAGCGGTATTCTGATATTTTTGTCACAGAAGTATTGTTTTTTTTTGTTTTTCTTTTGGAGTGGGTAGGGTCGAAAATTTTTAGAACTCATTTGTCATTTGTCTTTTTAGCAATTATAATGCTTTATGCATAAATTTTGAGGTGAGATGTGTTTTAATATATAACGATAATTTTAGTAGCGATAACGACGAGCATGTAGTCGTTGTTGACCCGGCAAATTTTCAGGAGGATCTATGGTGTATTAGTATTTGTATTGCTATTTTTCAGCTTTGACTGAAAATTATTGCCGCTTACGACTAAGTTGGCGAAAAGACTGTGACTATTGCCAATAATAGTCATGCCTGGCAAGATTGTCTCATTATTATTTAAGGGAAAAGATTCTTATGCTGCAGTAGTGATCATGATGATGCCAAACTTGACGTTTGAGTTTAGAAATTGCAGTAGTCGGAATTTATTAGTGTTACCATTATTATTATTAGTAGTAGTAGTAGTAGTTGTAGTAATTATCATATTTACGAATCTTGACAATAATTAACTAAATAATTCCCTCGACAGATATTGATTAATTAATTCAATTTTAGTTTTGCCATCTTAGTCATAAATGATGGATTTAATTTGCAAAATTTTAGCCTCTACTGTATTAGCTTACGGCCATATCACGTTGAAACACCGCTTCTCGTACAATCAGAAAAGTTAAGCAACGTCGAGCCTAATCAGTACCTAGATGAGCGACCGTTTGGGAATACCAGTCGCTGTAAAGTTGGATGTGCCGGTGGTGTAATACTAATAGATAACAACTTTGGAATCAGAGAGCCGAGTTCCAATTTCAGTTGGATTCGTTTTGTTCACTTACACGCAAATACCCTGGTGGGAAAGGTATAATAAATCCACCTATTTTCCTCCCGGCTATGGGTTAATTAGTATGACTTGTATAACTAAATCATTATCTCCCTCAAAATTCTTACAATGTAAAAATATTTTCAGGCCTTAAATAACCTTTATGCAAACGTTAGTATTTTATTTTAAATACCTTCTGGGTCAGCCAATAAATTTTCTACATTTTCTTTTTATGTGTATTAAATATTCACATATAAATGGCGGCAAATCAATAAGTTAAGTTTATTTTTTAATTAATATTTCACTGTATAATGTTTGATCTATGTAATTATTCATCAATAAATTGGAAGGCGATTATGTTGAAAATATTCTTTTAATTAAATGCATCATTCATCGTAAGGTGAACATTTTTAGTTTACATACACAGACACATTTGTTTAAACGTTATTAAATGAATACTCGTATTTAAGTAGATACTGTGTATTTTACTTATTTATTAAACAGTATATTTATTTATTTACCGGATTGAATGTTTGAGAAATATTGTTAGAAAAATATGAGTCCTCCTGTAGGATTCGAACCTGCTTCCTCTAGGGAAGATCTTAGATCTGATGTGCTTAAACCAACTCGGCCTCGAACAAAGAAAGCCCGAATAGTGTTTTTGTTTTTGAACACATACTTCCCGATTCTCGACATATACATACTGCTCTTTTTTATAACGTAAATAAATACAATTTTGTAGGAAATGGATTTTGTGTGTGTAAGAGAAAACTTAAATTTTCTTTTATTTACCAAATTAAAAGTTAGACAAATTATGGAAAGAAATGTGTACATATACTTTTTACTTTTAAATTAATAGTGGTGTGGTAAATTATACACAAAAGAATCTCCACAGCAGTTAATCATTTTTACAATGTGTATAAAAAACAATCCTGTCCACTCGTAAAAATTAGTGAAAGTTTTGGGGAAAATAATTTTAACAGATTACTTTTTTATTTTAGACCTTTCTTAGACCACGAAACCTGTGAGAATCGAAAAATATTGATTTGTTATCCTGAATATCATTACAATGTCAAATCGATCCCAGACTTTTACAGAGTTATTGGCTTTTTAGGTCTTCTGCTTACGAAAATATACTTTTTGGGCGTCGGGGTTACAAAAGATTTGTTTGAAGTAACGAACAAACGGATATATAACAAATTTATATCTTTAGGTTATCTGTTCTTTCTTCATTTAACATGAATAATTATTAATCTCAAATGTGCTTTTGAAAAAAAAATCGGATGCAAAAAGAAATAAAACTTTTAGATTTTTTTTTTTTAAACCAGTATAAAAATAGTTTCTAAAGTTTAAGAAAACAAATTATATGCAGATATCAACGATACTGTTACCAAACTTTAAACATGGCATTTGTAAATAACATCTTTAGTCCGATAACTCTGTAAAAGTGAGGGATCGATTGTTTTTTTTTTTATATTATATCGATGTTATGAAGAGGTTCCTACTTATAAAATGATAAGAAAATGAAAATTTTTCGATAGGTGCCAGGGCCTAAAAGACTTCTAAAGAATGCTACATAAATCCCCTATATTTTTACGATTGGACCAATCTATTTAAGTAATGCTTAAAGATGTATATGGAAAAAAAATTATATTTTATTTAGGTACCTAATATCTGGCAGCGTATGTAGTCTTGAAAATTACTTTTATTTTAATTTCAGGTAGATTATCGTTCAAGCCAACAAAAATTAATTTTAGGGATTTAGACGTGGTTCTACACGTTATGTTTGTCTAATCAGTACCGGGCAGTACCCGCATTTACGACTCCCCAGTAGTGACATTCTGTGAAGTTTATTATTGTATGTTAATGTAAAATAACATGTGCATTTGATTTTTTTTTTTTTTTTAAGTTTTATGGATTTAGAAAGTAGAGTACATTTATTTCGGATATGAAAAATGTTCACTTTTCTTAATTAA